GCCAGCCTTCTGGTTAGCAGTCAAGTGCCTTAGCCACTACGCTACCAGAGCTCCTAATAATGCAGTAGACCTTTTTAAGGCATGATTTGTATTGGATCCTAAGTCCTGAATGTTTCTGGAAACTGACTTCAGAGTCAAATATGCTAGAACTCATCTATTTGGGTCAAAGAGGCAGCCACACAGATTCAACCTTTGATATGTCAGAATATTCTCACAATAACCCGCAGGGCAACATGAGACACGCGCCTGCCGGGCGGCCTCCTGAGCTACCCACGCTTCTTCCCAGTAGCCCTGACACGCTGATCACTCGTCACCACCACATGGAATGTGGAACCTTGTTCTTCCTCGAACTTGCTCTAGAGAGTGAGTGTATTTGAACATGAAAATACAGACAGCACAAGGGAAAAATAAATGTTAAAAATGCATTCCCCAGAGATTTTATTCTAAGACATCCCTTGCCAATGTCCCTTCTATAACCTTTAGAAACCGATTCATATTCTACTAAATCATCTTACAAATGTTCTTTGTAGGGCAGTTATAGGTTAATGGCTTTAGTCAGCCGCTCTAATGAAAGTTCCAGAAAAATACGTTGTGTTCATTGCAAGCATAAAACTCACGCCCTGGGACGTAAGCAGACTATATTTAGCACATAAGTAAAAAACATTTTACCCCATCAGGCCTCCTGGCTTATTCTAGGGAAGACAGCTCTTGCATAAGTTCTTCCTTTTCCTGTTGTAACTCCTGCAAATGCTGTTGGTTTTGCTCCAATCTGTCCTCCAGCCACTGCAGGAGAGGGCCGCTGACTGCTGACATCTGACTGCACAGGTTCTTGGTAAACACTTCAACAGGCAAAACACAGATGAGGCCAGTGTGGCACAAGCACTGTCCCCTGGCATGTCCCCATTCCACCACAATCATCCCCTTGGCTGGGAGCCCCGAAAGTAGAAAAGGTGCAGTGAGCAGGACTGGCGGCAGACAGAAGAGCTGAGCGGGCTTAGGCAGCTGTTCGGAGGCCTGGCCAGCCCTGGATCCACAAGCCAGGGGGAAGCCTGGCTGCGCAGAAAGCAGAGAGATGGCTAGCTCCTTGGTCCTTGGGCAAAATGGCTCAGAGCCACCTCTGGACAGCTACAACTCTGCGTCCTGCAACTTACTTTTCCACAGAGCCCTGTAGGAAAAGTGCTTCTCAAATGTTACTTGCATTGGAGAAATACGTTAATTCGCCTCACCTAAAAGTGTTTCTTTTAAAATGAGGAAAACCCAGACGGATGAGGAATGAAGGACTTATCTTTTATGCCTTAGTGTGAGTGACTGAAAACCTCGGCCTCCTAAGCTTGGGCAGTGGCAGCGCTACCACGTTCGTCTTCTGAAAGAAGTTCTTCCCAAGGAGATTATCTTTTTCTCTCCCTTAATGCATGAGTGTTATGGAAATGAGCACTGTGAGCACTGTGGGGGACATCCTTCCAGGTTTTCTGCCATGTTGGTGAGGGCGTGTGAGCTTTGCAACAAAAGCTCTATTAATCTGGACCTTACTTTCCCCCATGAGATAGTATGTCACAGATATCTTTCTATGTCAGTAAAGATCAATCAATATTCATCTGAATAGATGCACAATTGATTAAGTCCCCTATTGATGGACATCTCGGTAGCATCCATTTTTTTCACTTTCATAAAGACTGTGATTAATATTCTTTTATACTGATTTTTGCACACCGGTTCAATTTTTGAGGGCTGTGCTTCTGGAAGCAAAATTGCAAGATCCAAGTCCATGTACGTATTAAAACTGATTATCCAATATTTTTCAGAGTTACCTCCAAGAACAGCACATGTGAGTATTCACTTCCCCTACATCCTTACTGAATTATGTCTCATTTTTATCTTTGGCAGCAGAGAAGAAGGAAAAAAAAAAAAATGATCACTTAATTTTAACGTATACTTCCTTGATACTAAGGTTGGGCAGTATTTCATCTGCAAATAGCCTCTCTTTGTCCTTGGGCTATTTTTGTAATACACTGCTTTCTCAATAATAATAATGATAGCTAGCACTATTGAAGGAGCTCTGGTGGTGCAGTGGTTGAAGCATTTGGCTGCTAACCAAAAGGTCAGTGGTTAGAACCCACCAGCTGCTCCTCGAGAGAAAGATGAGGCAGTGGGCTTCCATAAAGACTAACAGCCTTGGAAACTCTATGCACATTTCTACTCTGTCCTCTAGAGGCACTGGGAGTTGGAATCGACTCAATAGTAGTGAGTTTGGGTAAGTATGTATGTGGGGAAAAAGTCACTTGGTATATATATTGTATTAAGATTTCTGCTCCTTGGTATCATATAGAAATTTCTTCTGTATTTATTGATGTGAAAAGATTTCCCTTGCACTCTCTCTTCTATCTATCTTTCTGTCTCTCTGCCTACCTATCTATCAATCTTTTTGTCAATCCATAACTTTCAACCCTTAACTAGCCTAGGAATTGTGTGCTGGGGCAGCTCATATAGCTCATAAAAGTTGAGTGTTAGAATTTAAGGAAGTTGCACTATGGCAATTGGCAGACACTACAAATAAGAGCCCTCTCCCCTCCCCAAGGGAGTTCTGGTGGTGTAGTGCCTCAGGCATTTGACTACTAACCAGAACCTGGCGGTTCAAACCCATCAGGCACTCCTCGGAAGGAAGGTTGGGCCATCTACTTCCCTAGAGATAGCACCTCGGAAACCCAAGGAGGGGGCGCTATGAGTCAGGGCCGACTCGATGGCAGTGTGTCCCCTCCCCAAGAGCGGGGTGTTAAACACAAACCTGCACACCACTAAGTAGGTCTATCGTGCACCTCATGCCATTTTCTCTTGACTTATTCCTGGTAACATTTACAGAGTTAAAGGATCCACAGGGCACAGAATAAAAGTTGGGAGCAGGACCAACGGCATAGTTCTCGGGAATGGAGACTCATTACTTCAGTGACATCAACTAATGCTGCTTCTGTCAGCTGAGTATTTTAGGGATCGCTGATTACACTCAAGAAAGAAAACCTTACCTGACCCATTATGGATCTTGGTTACTGAGTCCAGATGTGTAAGGCTAAAGGGACAGAATAGTTGAGGTTAGTGGCAAAGCAGTATTGTAGGCAAAACAAACTAGTCAAAGTGGTAAACTGCCTCAGACTGTCACCCACAGGATTAGATGGGTATGATGTATGATCTCAATTCCTGGTCAATTTTGAAGGATTTGGAGGATATGATTTTATTCAAAAATTCAAGAGACACATGATAATTTCGAAATGACTGTCTCGAATGAAGCTCCCACATAGCACACATTTATTGGGAATCTGTTAACGTACAACCCTGTTCTCGGCACCAGGACTCCTAAGATGTGTCTAAGTGTCTGCCCTTGCAGGATGCAAAGTGTAATGGGAGAGAAACAAAAGTTAAAAAGATTGCTGTCACACAGTGTGAGAAATCTTATGATCAGTGAGTGCCATGAAGTCTTCTCACAGGGAGGTCAAAGAACCGGGGCCACAGCAACTGAGCTGCTCAAGACAAAAGGGCAGAAGAGCCCGGAGTCGGTCCCAAGGACGGAGAGCAGAGCAGAGGGCTTCTCTACCTGTGAATCCTCCGGTAGGCGTCCTGCTCCTCTTGGCACAGGATCTTAGGCAGCTCAACCGCTGATTCAAGGCACGCCTTCCCAATGGTGACGTGAGGCACAATGTGGATTGGGATTTCCATTCTCTCATACCTGAAAAGCAATCGGCTCAGGTCAGTTTTCAACCTGGAGTTGTCATACAGAACTTCTCTGTAGTTTTAATGGAAACTTTGAGCAACAACCTCCTTCAAAGATTAAACACTCCTATAATTGATTTTTGTGGCTCAGCTTCAAAGCAGACAGAGTTCACACTGGCTTTCTCTGGGGCGAAAATTACAAGCCCAGTTGCAGAGCCAGGATTCTCTAATCCCACAGACAGTCTGAGGCCACTTCTGTTGGGAGCTCAAGGTCCGTATGCCTGCTCCCCAGAAAAGGGAAATAGCTAGTGAAGACTGTTTTTAGTCAGGAATTTGCCAGTGAAGTCGGACGGATTAATTGCAATGCCTATAGAAGAGGAAGCGCAGACTCTTCGATGGCGCCATCGGATTCATTATGTAAATGGCATTACTCACAGAACTGCTCACTTGTTCTAACTCAGTGTTCACCAGCGGCCCTCACTTCCCATTTTGTCCCCTGAGGGGGAAATGGGTAAGAAATTCACAAATACTTGTATTTTCATGCTAGAGTAGGAGAAACAGATAGGATTGTTACTGATACCAACCAATCAGCCTCTATCCACTTCTCACCCCGAATCCACCTGAAGTCCAACCAACAGAGGGATCAGTGGAGTAGCTGGGCACGTGGACCCAAGGGTACATGGTGGTAAAGCAGTGGAAGATCTAGTTCCTCCCTCTCTCCTGCCCACCCAGCAGCGTGGCTGGGCCCCATATCACAATCTAGATGGAACACAAGCGATGGGGCATTACCAGCACTTCCTCCCCCACCCCCAACTCACACCCAAGTACTCAAGTAGGAATTCAAGGAAGAGTATGCCAGAGCTGCTAGTGGTCTTCAGAAAGCCCTCTGAAGTACCACACAGTGACTACTGTTACTAATAATTCCAGAAACTCTGAGCAGGTTCATCTGCTGATGCTATTAGTCCGGTTAGCAGAGTTTCCCATGGAGTTTCTCAGGGCCATCAGGAGAAATGCTTTCAATAGTCCTTTGCATTTTGACACATATCTTCATTAATTTCTAGATCAAATAGCTAGAGCTTCTGTCAGCTTAATCAAAACTACAACACAAAGACCTAGGTAGGTAGACATCCAAAGTTTATAATAGACTTTTGCTTCCATGAATGGTGGACTAGGTGGTTAAGACTAATCTGTCTGTTCAGAGCAACTAGAATAGCTGGCCTAAATAGGATAGCATTCTTGGAAAGCTACCAAGGCAGTGAGTAAGTGTGGGGTCAGTATCTGGGAGACGAGGGAAATCCCGAGAGATGGCCCTGACATGTAGGAGCACTTTTTTCATGGAAAGGTACCTACTGACTCCAGAGGAGGAAGCTTAGAGGCTGGGAAGTTGAGTAGAGCTTTCAGAAGGCTTATAGGGCTGTTGTGTGTGGTGGAGTAAATTCCAACTCAGTCACCCTATAGAACAGAGTAAAACTGTCCCATAGGGTTTCCTAGGCGATAAACTTTACAGAGCAGACTGCCACATCTTCTTTTCTGTGGAATGGCTCATGGGTTTGAACCACTGCCCTTTGCCTTAGCAGCCCAAAACTTTAACACAATGGTGCCACCAGGGCTCCTTTCCTGGGACCGATAAAAATTTGAGTTCAGAGCCTGTCAAGGTGGAGAGATCCTAGGAAACTGTCCCCAGGGATTGGAGATTCAACTTTGAGTCATTTCAATTTCTAATTATATTAAAGTTATCTGGTAGTCCTGCTTCCGGTCAAGATGTAGAAGGTCACCAAACCCCATCAATCCTGCCATAAGAAAACCAAAAATACACAGATTTTTTAAAAGACACTGTAAAGCTGTGGATGCAAAGATAACTCTAAATGAACTAGATTCCAGGAAGGGCCAAGCGTTTCCTAGAAGAGCAGAGGCCAGCGGGCACTCTCTTCCCTAGAGGCACCTGTCTTGTCTGGGGGCACAGACAGGAAAAGGATGGGGCTTTTCATATGCACATGAGCTTTGCTGGGACAAGGACAAACCAACAGGGCTTGTAATGATCATGTGAGTGGCTGTAACAGACTGGAATCTGTGGAAGCCCCAAACATAAAGCTACTTCTCCCCTACTGCTTTTACTCCCATATGACTTGCTGAGAATTTGTAGGCACAGGAGGCTGAGACCCAAGCTATAAGAAATGTTGGTAGACAGGTTTCTGTTTGTGTTCCACCCTTCACTTCTTCAGGGTTTGTACCTATGAGTGAGATTGCTGGGTCATATGGTAATTCTGTGCTTAGAGTTTTTGAGGAACAGCCAAACTGTTTTCCACAATGGCACAACCATTCGAAATTCCCACTAGCAATGGAAGAGGATCCCAGGTCTTCTACAACCTCATTAACATCTATTATTTTCCCTGGTTTTTTTTTTTTTTTTTTTTTTTTTAGCTCACTGCGTTCTAATAGGGGTGAGGGGACATCTAATTGTAGTTTTGATTTGGATTTCTCTAATGGTGGCTTGGGAGCTCTGGTAGCATAGTGCCTAAGGCATTTGACTGCTAACCAGAAGGCTGGCGGTTCAAACCCACCAGCCACTCCTCAGAAGGAATATGGGGCAATCTACTTCCGTAGTGATACTGCCTCAGAAACCCAAGGAGGGGTCACTGTGAGTCGGGTCTGACTCGATGGCACATACCGACCAACCAATGGTGGCTTAGTGGGTAAGACATTTGGCTGCTAAACAGGTCAGCAGGTCAAACCCACCAACCACTCTTCAGAAGTAAGATGAGGCAGTCTGCTTCTTTAAAGATTTACAGCCTTGGAAACCCAGTGGGGGTCACTATGAGTCGGAATCAACTTGATGGCAGTGGCTAATGGTTAATGAGTAGCTCTGGTGGCACGGTTGTTGATGTTGTTAGGTGCCGTCAAGTCATCTCCAACTCATAGCGACCCCATGCACAGCAGAACGAAACACCACCCGATCCCGCGCCAGCTCCATGATCCCTGTTGTACTTGAGCCCATCGCCGCAGCCATTGTGTCAATCCATCTCGTTGAAGGCCTCCCCCTCTTTTGTCGACTCTCCACCCTACCAAGCATGACATCCTTCTCCAAGGAATGGTCCCTTCTGACAACATGACCCAAATAGGTGAGACGAAGTCTGGCCATTCTTGCTTCCAAGGAGTATTCTG